TCTGCCCTCCTCTTGTCTCCTTTTGTTTATTCTCGTCTTTGTCTTCTTCCTCTTTCTTTTAACCATCCAGATAACCAAGACAAAGAAGTTCGCCTGCCCTCTCCTTTTGCTTCTGTATTGTCTCCCTGTGCCACAGAACAAATTTTATTCCCCTTGTCACTGTCCTTGAACTTCTTTTTTGTTTTGTTTTGATAAGCTTTATTGAGGTATAATTGACATAATAAAATTTACTAACTTGAATGTACACTTTGATGAGTAACTGTCACCATCATGATAATAAAGTATTTCCATTACCCTAAAAGTTATCCCCAAACCGCTTTGCAGTCTCCTCCCCCCAACCCCTGGTGGCCACTGATCTGTTTTCTATCCCTTATCTAAAATGCTTGGGATGAGATGTTTTGGATTTCAGATTTTTTCAGATTTTGGAATATTTGCAGTTACTTAAGCAGTTGAACATCCCTAATCCAAAAATCCAAAATTCAAAATTTTCCAATGAGCATTTTCTTTGAGCATCATGCTGGTGTTCAGAAAGTTTCAGATTTTGGTTTCATATTTTCAGATTACAGATGCCCAACCTGTGCTAGAATTTTGCCTTTTCTAGAATTTAATATAAATGTGACCATATAGAATACAATCTTCTGTCTAGCTTTTTTTGCTACTTAACAGAATGCTTTTACAATTCATCCATGTTATTGCATGCATCAGTAGTTCCTTTTTATTGCTGAGTAGTATTCTATTATATAGCTATGCCATTTTTTATCCATTCATGTGTTGATGGACATTGGGTTGTTTTCAGTTTTTGGCTATTATGCATCAAGCTGCTAGAGAATTTTTATATAAATCCTGGGTAATACCTGTGGCTGTAATGGCTGGCTCATATGTTAAATGTATCTGTAACTTTATAAGGAACTGCCAAAATGTGTTCCAAGGGACTGTAACATCAGCAATGAGAGTTCCATTGGCTTCATATCCCCACAAAGTCGTGGAATTATCTATCTTATTTTTGTGATTTTAATTTGCATTTTTAAATAACCAACGATGTTCAGCATCTTTACATGTGCTTGTTTATCATTCATGTATCTTTGGTGAAGCATCTGTTCAGATCTTTTGCTTTTTTTTAAGTTGGATGATTTGCCTTTTTGCTATCGTTGTGCAAGTTTTTTATGTTTTGGGTATGTCTTTTGTTGGGTATATTGTTTTGTATATATTTTGAATTCTAATTTTTAGACTTTTTTTTTTTGAGACACAGTCTTGTTCTGTCGGCCATGCTGGAGTGCAGTGGCATCATCTCGGCTCACTGCAACCTCCACCTCCCAGGTTCAAGTGAGCAATTCTGTTGCCTCAGCCTCCCTAGTAGCTGAGACTACAGGCACGCACCACCACACCAAGCTAATTTTTGTATTTTTAATAGAAACGGAGTTTCACCATGTTGGCAAGGTTGATCTCAAACTCCTGACCTCGTGATCCGCCCGCCTCAGCCTCTCAAAGTGTTGGGATTACAGGTGTGAGCCGCTGCACCTGGCCAACTTTTTTTTATAGTTGTTTCTTTATGTTCCTTCAGAAATCTTTGCCCGATTTAAATATTGATTATTTCAGTCCAAGAGGATAGGTTATCTATTTTAATTTCTCAGTATTATAGTTTTTGGTGTACATATCTTATACATCTTTTGTGAGAATTATTTCTATATAGTTTACCATTTACAATAGCATTTAAAAATTTTTTCAAATTTGGATTGTTCATTGCTGGTATATAGAAATACAACTGGTTTCTGTTTATTGATGTTGTATTCTGAGACCTAGTCAAATTCACTTATTTGATGTTCTAAGGAACATCTCTTTAGAAAACTCTAAAGAAAAGGGTTTTCTGCCGGGCGCGGTGGCTCAAGCCTGTAATCCCAGCACTTTGGGAGGCCGAGACGGGCGGATCACGAGGTCAGGAGATCGAGACCATCCTGACTAGCACAGTGAAACCCCGTCTCTACGAAAAAATACAAAAAACTAGCCGGGCGAGGCGGCGGGCGCCTGTAGTCCCAGCTACTCAGGAGGCTGAGGCAGGAGAATGGCGCAAACCCGGGAGGCGGAGCTTGCAGTGAGCTGAGATCCGGCCACTGCACTCCAGCCTGGGCGACAGAGCGAGACTCCGTCTCAAAAAAAAAAAAAAAAAGAAAAGGGTTTTCTTTATACACATCTGTCATCTGAATAAAAACAACTTTATTATTATTTATTTTTTAGAGACAAAGCTGTTTTTGTTTTGTTTTGTTTGAGACAGTCTCCCCCTGTCGCCCAGGCTGGAGTGCAATGGCGTGATCTCAGCTCACCTCTGTCTGCTGAGTTCAAGTGATTCTCCTGCCTTAGCCTGCCGAGTAGCTGGCACATACCACCATGCCCAGCTAATTTTTTGTATCTTCAGTAGAGACGGGGTTTCACCATGTTGGCCGGGCTGGTTTTGGACTCCTTACCTCGTGATCCGCCCGCCTCAGCCTCCCAAAGTGCTGGGATTACAGGTGTGAGCCACCATGCTCGGCGAAAACAAGGTCTTGCTCTGGAGTGCAACAGCATGATCATAGGTCACTGTAACCTCAAACTCCTGGGCTCGAGTGATCCTCCCACCTCAGCTTCCCAAGTAGCTAGGACTATGTATGTGCACCACCACACCCAATTTTTAAACAATTTATGTAGAGGTAGGGTCTCGATAGGTTGTCCAGGCTGTTCTTGAATTTTTGGCAAACAATTCTTCCACATTGGTCTTCCCAAAGTGTTGAGATTATAAGTGTGAGCCACTGCACCTGGCCTATTTTATTTCTTTTCCTTTCTTTATGCCTTTTGTTTCTTTTTCTTGCCTGCATGCACTGGCTAGAACCTATAGTAGAAATGGGGTTTCACCATATTGGTAAGGTTGGTCTCGCACTCCTGATCTCAGGTGATCCACCCACCTCTGCCTCCCAAAGTGCTGGGATTACAGGCGTAAGCCACTGCGCCTGGCCTAAAGCTACCATCTTTTGACATCATATATATATATTTCTGATTTTAACTGTATTGGCTAGCTGTTGTTTAGGAATTTCTTGTCATATAATGGAGAAAAATACCTTGAATCAAAGCTATTAGATAAAAGGAAACTTGTCTGAGATAGTTCCCCAGCCTGTTAAGTGAAAATTTTGGGTGTTTAGAATTATCTTATTTTTTTGTAAATTGCTACATATCCAGTGAGTCAGGCACCCACTCCTAGTGTGTTAAGTCAGCCATAAATAAGAGAATGTGAAAAGAAAGTATGGAAAAATATGTTTTGGAAAAGGTAAAAAACTTACAAAGGCTATATTAAAACCTATAGTGTCGGGGCTGGGCATGGTGGCTCACGGCTGTAATCCCAGCATTTTGGGAGGCCGAGGTGGGTGGATCACCTGGGGTCAGGAGTTCGAGACCAGCCTGGCCAACATGGCCAAACCCCGTCTCTACTAAAAATACAAAAATTAGCCAGAGGTGATGGCGTGCGCCTGTATTCCCAGCTACTTGGGAGGTTGAGGCAGGAGAACTGCCTGGGAGGCAGAGAGGTTGTAGTGAGCCAAGATCTCGCCATTGTACTCCAGCCTGGGCGACAGAGTGAGACTCTGTCTCAAAAAAACAAAACAAAACACACCTAAAGTGTTTGTAGGTTATGTGTTATGTGAATTTTGCAAGCAGGCAAGTCAAATTGGGCATTTGGTTATCTATAATAATTTAAGGAATTATGATGTTAACTGATTTATTGAAAAGGGTTTATTTCAATTATGATTTCTTAAGTGGTGAGAAGCTATTTTCCTTTAAGCTACAAAAAATTTTGGGTAATGCTATGACTCTAAAACTTTTTCTGATAATGTCTTTAAAAGAAGATAATGTCTATTGGATAAGTAACTTTTTAAAAAATTCATTTACTCGAGAGCTAAGTATAAAGTTCTGAAGGAGAAAAACACCTTTTTTTTTTCTTTTACACAGTCAACAGTCAGCACATCACAAAACACTACTGTAACCAGATGTGTGGGGTTTTTTTCCCCCACATATACCAAGCAATTGTAGGAGACACCAACTGGGTGTCCCGTAATTCAATTCAATTTTGACTTCAACTACCTGGAGTTAGATCCCAGGGTAAGGGCTCAGTCGCACAAAACTGGGACCCTTACTTCACATGCCAATCATACATAAGTAGGTTGTAACCTGTACTTGTGACTGACCGGCTGTAAATCGGGCTACCACTACCCTCTCCTTGGGTTTGATTAATTGCTAGGAAGGCTCACAGAACTCAGGGAAACACTTTTGTTTGCCAGTTTATTATAAAGGATACTATAAAAGATACATATGAAAGCCAGATGAAGAAGTACATAGGGTGAAGTCTGGAAGGGTCCCCAAGTACAGGAGCCTCTTCCCCCGTGGAATTGGGGTATGCTATCCCCCCTGCACATGGATGCAATGACCAACCCAGAATCTCATCAGGTCTCTTGTTTCCCAATTTATTTACTTATTTATTTATTGAGACAGGATCTTGCTCTGTCACCCAGGCTGCAGTGCAGTGGTACAATCACAGCTCACTGCAGCCACTACCTCCCAGGTTCAGGTGATCCTCCCACCTCAGCCTCCCGAGTAACTGGGACCACAGACACGCACCACCATGTCTGGCTAATTTTTTAATTTTTTTGTAAAGTTGGGGTCTACTTATGTTGCCCAGGCTGGTCTCAAACTCCTGGGTACAAGTGATCCTCCTGCCTCAGCCTCCTGAGTAGCTGGGACTACAGGCATGCTCCACCATACCCAGCTAATTTTTTTAAAATTTTCTGAGACAGACACAGGATCTGTGTTGCCCAGGCTGTCTTGAACTCCTGGCCTCAAATGATCCTCCTGCCTCAACCTCCCAAGTAGCTGGGATTACTAGTAGGCATGATCCACCACGTCTGGCTATATTTCTTATTTCACAAAAGAGTTTTATAGGTGTGCCTTATATTGACATACTATTTTAATTTTATATCTTTCAGATATTTGTATTTGACTTGCGTTTTGGAATTTATCTACACTTAAAATGCCACCAGCAGTTGGAGGTCCAGTTGGATACACCCCCCCAGATGGAGGCTGGGGCTGGGCAGTGGTAATTGGAGCTTTCATTTCCATCGGCTTCTCTTATGCATTTCCCAAATCTATTACTGTCTTCTTCAAAGAGATTGAAAGTATATTCCATGCCACCACCAGCGAAGTGTCATGGATATCCTCCATAATGTTGGCTGTCATGTATGGTGGAGGTAAGTACCTATTAAGGCCTGCTCTTTTAATTTTCATGAAGCAGCCAGAGTGTCTGTATTAGGTAACTTTAAAAAAAAAAGAAAAAGTCTTATTCAGTGAGATGTTTTGAAGTGTTATTTCCTAAAGTTTGGTGTTTAGAGTCACATTTTTCATTCCTGATAACAATAGCAACTCTCACTATAGTATTTGAAATACTATAGCATTTCAAAACGGAAATGAGAAAATCGTGAGGGACCTTGATTTGCTCCAACTGATGTATCATTGAGCTTAAAAGACTGTTATAAAAATGATGTATGCGCAACTGGTTTTTTGTTGTTGTCGATCCCTGCTAGACTCTTGAAATGTAAACATAAATACAGATTTTTAAAAATTGATGTTGGGAGAATTAAAATTAATCAGACTGGCCTAATGGCATGGTTCAAAGTCTCAGGTAAAATCTTTGTATGATGTTAGAATCAACTGAATAAAACCTCCTCCGTATTACTTGCGATGTTATGAGTCCTAAAAGCATGTCAGCTGTACCCTAAACTTAAATTTTACCACTTACTTCTCTTTTGTTTTCTTTGGCATATTGTAAAGGAAATGTAAGGAGTAAGTTGCTCACTTAACATCATCTAAAATACTGTTTCTAGCCAATGTAACGATTCTAGGTTTCAACTATAAATAACTTAGCCTTAGGCTGCTGAAGTGGTGCCATATTCAACCAATATCTATCAAGTTCTATGAGTACATTCAGCACGGGGCTAGGTGTTGTGAGTGACAGAAAACACTGATCCCTTCCTTTGAGAAGTTTATAATCCTTTTGAGACAATAATATATGATCATGAAACAGGAATAAGCAGTTGAAATCATAATTTCATTAAGCCTATAATTAAATTGTACAGAAGAAACAGGTAACTGGCTGCCATGGAGAGAGAGAAACTGGGTGACTGGGAACAGGAGTAGGAAGACATGTTTCCACTGCTTATCTTTTTGTGCCTTTTACATTTTGAACATGGGCCTATTTTGTCTATCAAATTAAAGAACCTAAGTGCTAAATTGTAGTGTTTGCTTTTTTTGTAAGTTCAGAGAAATCGAAAGGGACTTTGGGCATTAGCTTCTGAGAGCCAATAATTTTGCAGGCTTTGAACTCCATTCGGCCAGGATTTTAATCAGGTTTTGACTATGTTGGCTTGAAGAAATTGGTATAAACATTACCCAGAGGTACTCCAGGTGTTCAGTGTGTTCTTAAGTTGACTACAAACCAGAAGTTTACATGTTGCAATTCTGTACCACCAAAGAGCTAGAGAGCCACTTGTGTTTTGCATCAAAAGTAAGTGATGTCAGTTTTATTAATTGCACGTGACTCTCCTTTGGGGAAACAGTTCCTCCTTTGTCCTTACGCTATTAGTGAGATAACTAGCACATTTTTTTGAGTTTGTGTTTAATAGGCCCATAAACCGTACGCCTTTCTATTTTTAATCATAGCTAATTAGGCCCATCCTTCCTGAAATAACACTAAAAGACAAAATGTCTATCATGAACCTTGTTGCAGAATTTTTACTAAATGGGTTGTTTCGTTTGGTTTGGTTTCTAAATAGTATATCCCCTAATAAATAGTTTTCATCACTTTTACCACTGTGATAATCCTTTAACTTGTTCACTTGGACCACAATGTGAACACTAATACGTTTTGAGATATGGTTGGTTTTGTTTTCTTTTTTAGTGCTTTGGGTCAGAGATATACAGTGATGGTTATTAAAGTATATTTTGTGGGGAGGAGATGTTAACCTGTCTGCTTTTGGTTTGTTTTTCCTTTTTTTAAAACATGAAAGTAGAAATTTACATATTTTAAGTTCCACAAGGGTCACCTTAACACTTGTGGTTTGGAATTTTAAATATTTCAAAAACTTTAACTTCTGCAGTATTAACTTCTACCTCACAAAGTCAGCAGTGTGGTGATATTGATCTTTGTTTTGTGGGATCTTTTTTCTTTTTTTTTTTTGACACAGGGTCTCAATGTATTGACCAGGCTGGAGTACAGTGGCATGATCATGTCTGCCTCAGCCTCCCCAGTAGCAGTTGGCCCTACTACTATGCTCAGCTAATTTTTTATTTTTGTTAAGTAGAGATGGGGTCTCACTCTATGGCCCAAGCTGGTCTTTTTTATTATTTATTTATTTATTTATTTTGAGACAGCGTTTCTCACTCTGTCACTCAGGCTGGAGTACAGTGGCACAATCACCACTAACTGTAGCCTCAGCCTCCCTGGGCTCAGGCGATCGATCCTCCCCCTTCACCCTGCCAAGTAGCTAAGACTACAGGCTTGCACCACCACGCTCGGCTAATTTTTGTATTTTTTGTAGAGATGGGTTGTCGCAGTGTTGCCCAGGCTGGTCTTGAACTCCTAGGCTCAAACAATCTGCCCACCTTGGCCTCCCAGAGTGCTGGGATTAGAGGCATGAGTCACCGTGCCTGGCCTGGTATTTATCTTTGTTATTCTGGCTGTACAAAGTCTTATGACTCTATATATATTTTGTTGTTGTTGTTGTTTCGTTTTGGTTTTTTTTGTTTTGGTTTTTTTTTTTTGGAGACAGAGTCTCACTCTGTTGACCAGGCTAGACTATAGTGGCGTGATCTCTGCTCACTGCAACTTCTGCCTCCTGGGTTCAAGCAATTCTCCTGCCTCAGCCTCCTGAGTAGCTGGGACTGCAGGCGTGTACCACTACGCCTGGCTAGTTTTTGTATTTTTAGTAGTGATGATGTTGACCAGGCTTGTCTCAGAATCTCCTGACCTCAGGTTATCCACCCACCTCAGCCTCCCAAAGTGCTGGGATTGCAGGTGTGAGCCACTGTGCCCAGTCTAAAAATATTTTATAAGTATTCTTTCAGTATATAATTTTTTCATCTTACACAAGCTTTAAATTCAAATTATTTTATTTCTTTCTTTTCTTTTTGAGACAGAGTATTGCTCTCTTGCCCAGGCTGAGTACAATGGCACAATCTCTGCTCATTGCAACCTCTGCCGTCCGGGCTCAAGCAATCCACCCACCTCAGCTTCTGGAGTAGCTGGGACTACAGGTGTGTACCACCACACCTGGCAAACTTTTTTATTTTTGGTAGAGACAGGGTTTCGCCTTGTTGCCCAGGCTGGTTTTGAACTCCTGGACTCAAGTGATCTGCCTGCCTTGGTCTCCCAAAGTTCTGGGTTTATAGATGTGAGCCCCCATTCTTGGCTCAAATTATTTTCAAATTAGCTGTGATCTAATTCATGAACTGATTATCTTAGTTTGCCCAGGCTGCTGTAACAAAGTATTGATCACAGTGGAGGCTGGGAAGTCCAAGATCAAAGTTCCAGCAGACTAAATAAGTAGTGATGGTGCCTTATGTCTGTGTCCTCATGTGACAGAAGGGAAGACAAACTTCCTCAGTCCACCTTTTTTTTTTTTTTTTTTTTGAGATGGAGTTTTGCTCCTGTTGCTCAGGCGAGAGTTGCAATGGCGCAATCTCACCACAACCTCCGCTTCCCAGATTCAAGTGATTCTCCTGTCTCAGCCCCTCGAGTAGCTGGGATTGTAGGCATGCACCTCCACGCCCAACTAATTTTGTGGTTTTAGTAGTGACAAGGTTTCTCCATGTTGATCAGGCTGGTCTCAAATTTCTGACCTCAGGTGATCCACCCACCTTGGCCTCCCAAAGTGCTGGGATTACAGGCATGAGCCACCACTCCCACCCTGTCTTTCAAGAGGCTGAGGCAAGAGAATGGCATGAACGTGGGAGGCAGAGCTTGCAGTAAGCCGAGATCGTGCCACTGCACTCCAGCCTGGGCAACAGAATGAGACTCCGTCTCAAAAAAAAAAAACACAAACCACATTTATGATAATATACAAGTACTCTAAAATGTATTTAGATGCATTTATATGTCTCCTATCAGTGTGTGTGTCTGAAATTTAGAACATACTTTCTACATACATGTTTTTGTTTTGTTTGTTTGTTTGTTTGTTGAGACAGAGTCTCACTCTGTTGCCCAGGCTGACTGAAGTGCAATGGCAGGATCTTGGCTCACTGCAACCTCCACCTCCCAGGTTCAAGCCGTTCTGCCTCAGCCTCCCGAATAGCTGGGATTACAGGCACACGGCACCATGCCTGGCTAATTTTTGTATTTTTAGTCAAGATGGGGTTTCACCATGTTGGCCAGGCTGGTCTTCAACTCCTGACCTTGGGTGATCCACCTGCCTCAGCCTCCCAAAGTGTTGGGATTACAAGCGTGAGCTATTGTGCCCAGCCACTTTCTACATATATGTTAATCATATCCTAGATAAATCAAGAACCTTGTGAACATCCATTGCCAAGGTGTTTTCAGCCTGCCCTGCCTTAAAAGAGAAAGATTAAGGATAACTTCAGGTCTTTTGTATTTTAGTAAAATTCCATCCAGTATTTTTAGATTTAGAACCTGCACAATTATGTTTTCTAACATCTTTATTTTAGTACACATATGACTCAGAAATAATTACAGAAAACAGTATTCTTATCATTGCTGCTTGTTTATTTTGGAGGATTTGTCATTTGTTATCATTCATACTTGTATAGATGTGAGGGAGCAGTTTCCTTTATATTACTACATTTTTGGTTATCTTTTAGGTCCTATCAGCAGTATCCTGGTGAATAAATATGGAAGTCGTATAGTCATGATTATTGGTGGCTGCTTGTCAGGCTGTGGCCTGATTGCAGCTTCTTTCTGTAACACTGTACAGGAACTGTACTTCTGTATTGGATTCGTTGGAGGTGAGTTACTACTGATTCATTTGGAAGCATTAGTTTTTTGCTGGCTATTTTGTATTTACCTGCATTCATCTTTCAGATCTCTGAAGTGAAATTATTTTCTTATAGAAATGACTTGATTATCATTTTGAAGAACTACAGATAAAAGTACTAGAAAAGCAAACTTTTAAAGAAATTGCCATTATATGATGGATATTTATTGTTTGTTGAATGAGTAAATGAATTGAAAGAATGATTGCATTCCTTGTCCTAAGAATAGACAGTAATGGTAGATACAATGTGTGTGGCAACTCGGTGCGAGAGTGGCTATTTGATAGAATGTCCACATAACGTTTCTGAGGGGTAGAGGATATGCTTGATAATTCCTCCCCCATTTTAAAAATCACTAAATGAAGATAATGAACTGTTGATGAACATAATTAATAAAAGTTACCCATAACCTCACAATCCAAAGAATATCATTAACATTTCTATATATATCCTTCCATGTGTTTTCCTATGCACAGATACACCTTTTTTTAGAGCAAAAAAGGATCAAATTATATATAATATTTTGTAACCAGTTTTTTTTCCACTTAACAATATATGATGAACATTTTTCCATGTTGTTAAATGTTTTGATACATAACAATTTTAATCTCATACATAACATAATTTTATTTGATCTCTTAATTGTTGACAAATTGTTTTTGTCAGTATTAGGTTGAAATTCTTTTGTGAACATGAATATATTCTTAGTATAAATTTGTAGAAAAGGAACTGCTGTGTGTTTGTTTTAATATATGTATGCTAAATTGTCCTCTAAAAAAGTTATACTCACTTATTGTCCCACTACAGTATATCAGAGATTCCAAGATTATCCCTTTTGTCAACAATGGGATATTGTCTTTTTAAAAAAAAAAAAATTGCCAATTTAACAGGTGAGAACAATATCTGTTGGTATTAACCCTTATTTTCTTTCTTTTTTTTTTTTTTTTTTTTGAGACAGTCTCACTCTGTCGCCCAGGCTGGAGTGCAGTGGAGCGATCTCGGCTCACTGCAAGCTCCGCCTCCCAGGTTCACGCCATTCTCCTGCCTCAGCCTCCCAAGTAGCTGGGACTACAGGTACCTGCCACCACGCCTGGCTAATTTTTTGTATTTTTTTTTTTTAGTAGAGACGGGGTTTCACTGTTAGCCAGGATGGTCTCGATCTCCTGACCTCGTGATCCACCTGCCTCGGCCTCCCAAAGTGCTGGGATTACAGGCGTGAGTCACTGCACCCAGCCTCCTGATTAATTTTTGGATGTTGAATTTTGTTAAAAAGTATTTTTAAATTCAATCTTTTCCAATGTTTTCCCATTATTAAACATCTAAAATTTTTATGTATTCAAAAAGTATTTTACGGTTTCCATCTCGTATAGCATCCTGAGAAAGTTGTTTTCTACTCCAAGATTATGAAAATATTTGTCCACTTTTGTTTAGTGCACTTTAGTTTTTATATTTAAAAATCTGTTTTTTTGTTGTTTTTTGTTGTCGTCGTTGTTTTTGAGACACTCTCACTGCCAGGCTAAAGTGCAATGGCGTGATCTCGGCTCACTGCAGTCTCCGCCTCCTGGGTTCAACCGATTCTCCTGCCTCAGCCTCCCAAATAGCCGGGATTACAGGCGCTCGCTACCACACCCAGCTAATTTTTGTATTTTTAGTAGAGTCGGGGTTTCACTTTGTTGGCCAGGCTGGTCTCAAACTCCTGACCTCAGGTGATCCACCCACCTCGGCCTCCCAACATGCTGGAATTACAGACATGAGCCACTGTGCCCAGCTACATTTAAAAATTCTGAATGAATGAAAATATCTGACGTAAGATGAGAAAAAAGAAATACAACTGTATTTGTTCCCACATGGTTAATCAGTTGGTTCATTTGCTCATTTATTAATTTATTTATGAAATACTTATTGAGCAACAACTGTATGTGTGTTAGGATCCATTTTAGGTGCTATAGAGATAGAGCAACAAGTCAGGCAGTTAAGCTCTTTAATAGGAGGAGACAGACAGTACAACTCATAAATATATGAATAAATGAGAAAAATATCAGGCAGTGATAAATACTGTATAAAACCTTTAACTGAGTGTTGTGACAGGGAAGAACTGGGCAAGCAATGAAGGTAAGGGCTCACTGAACAATCAGCTTTAAGTAGAGACCTGCATAACAACAGGGAACCAGATTTGTGAAAATGTAAGGGATCATAGACCCTAGAGCTTATTAACAAATGTAAGAATGGTTTGCTATGAGGTCAGGAAGTTCTTTGAATATTTCTTCTGCTAGCACTATTTATTGAATAATTTCACTGTTTGTTGAATTAATTTAAAATGCTACTTTATCTTACATCAAATGTTTCTGTATATTTCAACTCTGTTCCTGGACTTTCTGTAGTGTTTCTGCACTTGCACTGATCAATTTTTACTGATACGTGAAACAGAGCCACACTGCTCTAATGATTGTAGCTTTTGTAAAGCCATTTAAATAATATGTTCTGGTTGGTCCCACTTTTTCCTCTGCACCACCAAAAATTTCCTAATAGCTCTGTATTTGTTCTCTAAGTATCCTTTAGAATCATTTTACCTTAATCTGAAAGTAAAATTCACTGACATTTGCATTGGATTGCATTAAGTTAGTACATTCATTTCAGGAGCTTTGACATCTTAACAATGTTATGTTTTATTTTCCCAAAACTTTGTATGTATTTTAAATTCTCTAATCTCTCAGGAAAGTTTCACAATTGGAGCCTTAGGAAATGCCTGTTTTTAAGTTTTGGTGCTATATTGGAAGGGATCATTTTGTACTATATGTTATTTCTTTCTTTTTTGTTTTTGAGACAGGTTCTTGCTCTGTAGCCCAGGCTGGAGTGCAGTTATGTGATCATAGCTTACTGTAGCCTCAAACTTCTAGGCTCAAGTGATACTCCAGCTTTAGCCGCCCAAGTAGCTAGGACTACAGGCACACACTGCCATACCAGGCTAATTTTCGAAATACTTTTTGTAGAGACAGGTCTTGCTATGTTGCCCAGGTTGGTCTTGAACTCATGGCCTTAATCAATCCTGCCACCTTGGCTTCCCAAAGCACTGGGATTATAGACATGAGCCACTGCACCTGGCCTTATGTATTTTCTAGTGTAAATTTGTTTTATCTCTACTGTCAGCTTAATGATCTTATATGGTCATAATAGTCCTTAAGGTGATTTTGTTAGATTGGACAAAATAGACAATTATTCACCTTCAAATAATAACAACATAATAAAAATAACATGTATTGAGTGCTTACTACATGCTGGGCAGTGGGTACTAAGTGCTTAACAAATTTTTCTTCCTCACAACAGTACCCTCTGCCCGTTTTACATATTAGGAAGCAGTCATAGGAGGGTATACATGTCTGAGATTATGCAGCCAGTAAGCACTGATACTGAGATTTGAACCCTTGTCTGTTTTAGAACTCATACTTTAAACCACTACATAACATTTTCTCTAACAATGAGGATTTATATCCTATTCTTTCCATTATTTATACCTCTTATTATTTATTTATTTATTTATTTTTCCCTTTTCACAGGTCTTGGGCTTGCCTTCAACTTGAATCCAGCTCTAACCATGATTGGCAAGTATTTCTACAAAAGGCGACCATTGGCCAACGGACTGGCCATGGCAGGCAGCCCTGTGTTCCTCTGTACTCTGGCCCCCCTCAATCAGGTTTTCTTTGGTATCTTTGGATGGAGAGGAAGCTTTCTAATTCTTGGAGGCTTGCTACTAAACTGCTGTGTCGCTGGAGCCCTCATGCGACCAATCGGGCCCAAACCAACCAAGGCAGGGAAAGATAAGTCTAAAGCATCCCTTCAGAAAGCTGAAAAATCTGGTGTAAAAAAAGGTCTGCATGATGCAAATACGGATCTTATTGGAAGACACCCTAAACGGGAGAAACGATCAGTCTTCCAAACAATTAATCAGTTCCTGGACTTAACCCTATTCACCCACAGAGGCTTTTTGCTATACCTCTCTGGAAATGTGATCATGTTTTTTGGACTCTTTGCACCTTTAGTGTTTCTTAGTAGTTATGGGAAGAGTCAGCATTATTCTAGTGAGAAGTCTGCCTTCCTTCTTTCCATTCTGGCTTTTGTTGACATGGTAGCCAGACCATCTATGGGACTTGTAGCCAACACAAAGCCAATAAGACCTCGAATTCAGTATTTCTTTGCGGCTTCTATTGTTGCAAATGGAGTGTGTCATATGCTAGCACCTTTATCCACTACCTATGTTGGATTCTGTGTCTATGCGGGATTCTTTGGATTTGCCTTTGGGTGGCTCAGCTCCGTATTGTTTGAAACACTGATGGACCTTGTTGGACCCCAGAGGTTCTCCAGCGCTGTGGGATTGGTGACCATTGTGGAATGCTGTCCTGTCCTCCTGGGGCCACCACTTTTAGGTACAGTATGTCTCCCTACTAATGTGGCTCTGTTACAAAACAAGCATATAAGATGGGAAAGCTGACAGAAAGCAAACATTAGTGAGCTATTTGGGTAAGAATAAATCTTTCTCGTTTCTGTACCCTTGGTGCTGGGACAATGCTTGGCACAGGATAATTGCTCAAATATAGAATCTAATTAAATGGAACCATCAAGCCAAAAGGAGGATCAAATATTGTTACAAATGTCAGTGTTTTTTCGTTTTTTTGAGACAGAGTCTTGCTGTGTTACCCAGGCTGGAGTGCAGTGGCACCATCTCAGCTCACTGCAACCTCCACCTCCCAGGTTCAAGCAGTTCCCCTGCTTCAGCCTCCCGGTAGCTGGGATTACAGATGCATGCCACCATGCTGGCCAATTTTTATATTTTTAATAGAGACGGGTTTTCGCCATGTTGGCCAGGCTGGTCTCTAACTCCTGACCTCAAATGATCCACTTGCCTCGGCCTCCCAAAGTGCTGGGTAACGGGTGTGAGCCACTACGCCTGGCCTAAAATACATTTTTTTCTGATCACAAAACTGATGTGCTTAGTGTAGAAAAGCATGTAGAAAAACAACTCAATCTTTAAAGCACTAGTGATTATTTCATTTTAAAAATGGAGTATATTTCACATAATTTTTTTTTTTTTTTTAAGACAGAGGCTTGGTCTTGTGGCCCAGGCTAGAGCGCAATGGCACGATCTCGGCTCACTGCAACCTCTGCCTCCTGGGTTCAAGCGATTCTCCTGCCTCATCCTCCTGAGTAGCTGGGATTACAGGCACCCACCACCATGCCCAATTAATTTTTGTATTTTTAGTAGAGGCAGGGTTTCACCATGTTGGCCAGGCTGGTCTCGAACTCCTAACCTCAAGTGATCCACCCGCCTCAGCCTCCCAAAGTGCTGGGATTATAGGCGTGAGCCACCGCGCCTGGCCCATAAGTTTTTAAAAAACACAAAAAGCAAAAAAAAACAAAAAACAAAAAAACAAAAGTTTATTTCAGTAGCAATAGTATAATAATAGCTACCATGTAAGCTCACAGTGTACCAGAGACAGTCCTTATCATTTTGTATCTCCTGTTGTATCTCACAAGTCCATGTGAGGTAGGACCGTTTTAGTCCCCATTTTGTAAGTGAACAGGGGCTTCAAAAGGTGAAGTAACTTGGCTAAGATCATACAGCTAGTAAACTAATTATAACTTGGGAACTATTTCTGAAGGTTATTGAATACTTGGTCTTTCAAATTAATATAGCTCAATAGATAACACGTAGTGAAAAAATAATTTGACCCTCCTTCTGGATATGACTCATACTTTAGGAATTTTGATTTGGGGAGTGAGTGAGTTATAACAGAAGATCCATAGCTGCCTTTTGAGATCAGTCTTCTTCCATCTCATACCCAGTGAGTTACTAAGTTCTATCAGTTTTTATGCTCTAAGTCTTTTTCTCATCTGCCCATTTTTCTCCATCACAACTACTACCCTTATCCAAAGCTCTTGTCTCCTGTTTGGTCTGCTCCTAACTGTAACCTCCTAACTGGTCTACCTGTATCAGTTCCAGCTATTCTTCAGTCTCCTTGAAGTCTCCAGTTCAGAACTCTTCAAGATTTCTTAAAACTCTCCAGTTGCTTCCCCTTACTTTCAGGGTGAAAAGCAAATTCCCTAATGTGGCTTGCAAGGCACTGCATGGACTGGCCCCACCTGTCCCTCCAGCCTCATTTCTACTACTGGCCTCCTGCTTTCTGTGCCCCAGCAACCTGGCCCTTCTTTCACCTCACACACCATGCTCTGTCCTACCATTGTGCCTTTGCACTGCAGTTCTCTGCTTAGATCTAATTCCCATCCCCTTGCTCCTAGATAATTCCTATCCTGCAAATCCCAGCTTAGTTGGCACTTTAAGGAAAGCTTTCTTGACCCCACTTCTTTCAAACTCCCCTGGTAGTACTTGTCACAGTTTGTGTAGTTACTTGATTAACATCTCTCTTGTCCACTGAACTGTGGATGTTAACTCCTCTGTTCACCCTTATCCTCAGGGCCTAGCTGAGCCAGTGCCTGGTATATGATAAAGGCTAAAAAAATATTGTTAATGAATGATGCAGTGAGTTAGAAAGCCATATGGAATCATATTTAAATTGGTTGTATTAAGTCCTGTTTAAGTGTAGGGTAGAATTTTCCCAGAGATACCAGTTCAATGAGATGCTAATAAATTTTACAGTAATGGAAGTTACATAACCAAAATAAAATTTGGAAACATCAAGTTAAATAGGATTCTTTACTACCAGACTTCACAAATCCTTTATGAGAAAATAATATGCCATTTACCCATTCATTTGACTTTTGAAACATTAAAGCAGTATCCTTGTAGCACATGCTTAAGGGTGCAGACTTCAGAGTCAGACTTTCTATGTTTAAAGCCAAGTCATTTCACTTATTAGTTTTGTGACCATGGACAAATTAGCTAACATCTCTGTAATTTAGTTTTTAAATCTGTCCAGTGAGGATGATAATAGAATCTGCCTGTTGTAAGGATTAAGCACTTAGAATGGGTGTAAGATATTGCTTTTAAATTTTTAGCACTGGACAAGTGTTCACAGGAATACTCTTTGGGAAATGCTGAGAAAGAGGATTGGCCTGGGTAAATGGGACAGCACTATGGCCTTGGACAGGACTCCCAGGCCTCTTTCAGCAACGCTTATTTCTATAGTGTGTTAAGAGAATTGACTCTAGGTGATCACTGCGTCTCTTCCATTTCCAGTTTGCCGAGAGTTAACTATTTTCAAGTTACTAAAAATAACAGAAGATGCAAAGGCCACTTAAAATCCATGAGGCATTATAAACAGAGGATCAGCTAATTTTCAGCAATTCCTTATACTAATTCATCATTTTGGGACTCTTTAAAGATTGGGTTGACATGTTTCTGAATGGATCCTTAAGCTTTGCTTGGGGGAGAAAAAAACCTGTTTACTCTTAGAAACATAACTGTTTTGTCATTTTACATATTTAGGTCGGCTCAGTGACATGTATGGAGACTACAAATACACATACTGGGCATGTGGCATCGTCCTAATTATTTCCGGTATCTATCTCTTCATTGGCATGGGCATCAATTATCGACTTTTGGCAAAAGAACAGAAAGCAAACGAGCAGAAAAAGGAAAGTAAAGAGGAAGAGACCAGTATAGATGTTGCTGGAAAGCCAAAGGAAGTTACCAAAGCAGCAGAATCTCCGGACCAGAAAGACACAGAAGAAGGGCCCAAGGAGGAGGACAGTCCAGTCTGAATCCATGGGGCTGAAGGGTAAAATTGAGCAGTTGATGACCCAGGATATCTGAAAATATTCTACTGGCCTGTAATCCACCAGTGGTGCTCAATGCAAATAGTAGACATTTGTGTGGAAATCATACCAGTTGTTCATTGGTGGGATTTTTGTTTGACTCCTTACCAATAGCCTGAATTTAAAATGACATATGCTTTGAGGAGGGAGTGATTGGTAGCAAAAGATGCGGGAAAGAAGTAGGTTTGGTTTTGTTTTGTTTTAATCTTCGCTTTTAATAGTGTCATAAAGATTATAATATGTGCCTTAAGTTTTAGTCATTAGAACTCTAGAGAGCCTTAACTTCTTAAACCATTTTTGCTGAATTCATCTATTTCGAGTGTTGTGTTAAAAGGAAAAATAACAACTAGCTTGTTTGAGGCAAATCCAAAATTTAAAATTAATCTTGCTTCATTGTTACATGTAATATATTTCAGACATTTTCACTGGAAGATTTGTGAACAGAAATATTGGTTGAAAATTAGAGATTTTATAAAATGCTGACAAATATTTTCCTAGCATCAGTAGATTTCTGGCATATGTTTCTGCTAGCTACATATTTAGGAAATTCAAAGCATAAAACTTTGGCAACATCTTGGCTGTTCTAGACACAGTGTACTTGTCAACCCCTCTCAGGTACCTTTTCTTGGGATGCTTATTAGAAGCCAAGTGCAGTGCTTAAGGTTTGTTTTCATTAAATTAGCTATTTTTGCTCCCCTGTTCAAAGATGCATTTTGAGTGTTTATAGATCACTGCCCTTTTTGAAATCACCTGGTATTATTTTTCTCACTGGAAAAGTTAGTACTGAAATCTACAAAACTACATATTTGTGCCTCCTTGGTAAATACAACACACCTAATTAAATGTAGACAGATATTTCAAATATCAGCTGAATTCACTTAAGTTTTTCCAAAACCTCAGTTAAACTGTGAAGCTATTGGAATTTTTTTTTCCTGGAATTTTTCCCCTTTGATTCACAGTGGTCCCATTTATATCTGCTTCCAGCTTAGTGCTATGCATAAGATATGTGTGTGTTTGGTGTTTCATTGTGCTGTTTTTTTTTGTTTTTTTGTTTTTTTGTTTTAATTTTATTTTTTAATGTTTGCAAATTAAAAAGGGCCAGAAAAATTTGGCACCAGACAAACGAATAAAGATAGGATTGGGAAAGAAGTTGCTAAGTGTGCTTAGTTTTAATAAGTAATTCTTTCTCTTTTTTCAGAGAAGGCCTTACAGAAAATCGTTGTTGAATTGTTGGATGCATTCTTACTCTCCACACAAACCTAGAAATTTTGTGACCCCTTTCACTTACCTGAAAATTAGAGAAATTGATTCAGTATAAGGATAAGGAGGGAAGGTGGACCAGAATGAAAACTGTAAATATTTTTTTAACCTAATATCACTTAAATCGAGGCAGAAAGATATAGATATTCAATGAATTATATTCAATGCATTTAAAATACCACTGTAATTGACAGAGTTAAAAGCATAGATACAAAACCTTGTGTAAGAGGCTGACTTTTCCAAATAAACATTTTTTTAGAAAATATTTCTTCTTCCAAATGTCTATTTTCTTCAGGAAAATATTGCTGTGTCTTCATTTTCATTACCAGGTTTCATTTCGGGCCTTGCTAAATTGATTGAATTAAATCATCCAGCTTGTGAGCCTTGATATTTGGGTATATGATTTATTTTCATTTGAATTTCTCCTTTTCTCTTCTTTGCTGTAAGGCAAGGAGGAGGGGAATTTTAAAACCATCTTATTTGAACTGAGAGCATCCAGAGCATTTAACCTTAAGGAAACAATGAAAAACTCCCTTTGTATGCCTGGGCATCATGGCAGATAGAGGAAGACTGTTCGAGGAGAAAACTGCTGCTGAGAGTGTTGGCAGGCTTGGCCTCAGGTTCGACTCTAATTTTCTTCGGACCCAAGTCGATAATCTCTGTGTACCTCTCCTCTCTTCCCCTCTATAAAAATGAGGATTAGGCCAGGTGCAGTGGCTCATGCCTGTAATCCCGGCACTTTGGGGGGCCGAGGCGGGTGGATCACAAGGTCAGGAGATCGAGACCATCCTGGCCAACATGATGAAACCCCGTCTCTACTAAAAATACAAAAAAATTAGCCGGGCGTGGTGGCGGATGCCTGTAGTCCCAGCTACTCAGGGAGGCTGAGGCAGGAGAATGGCGTGAACCCGCAAGGCGGAGCTTGCAGCGAGCCGAGATCGCGCTACTGTACTCCAGCCTGGGTGACAGAGCAAGACTCATCTCAAAAAAAAAAAAAAATTAGCCAAGCGTGGTGGTGGACTCCTGTAGTCCCAGCTACTCGGGAGGCTGAGGCAGGAGAATCGCTTGAACCCAGGAGGCGGAGGTTGCAGTGAGCTGAGATTGCGCCACTGCATTCCAGCCTGGGCAACAGAGCAAGACTCTGTCTCAAAAAAAAAAAGCTACTGGATACAGTGTAAACATAACTCATATACAATGAGAAACTAAAAAAGATGTGTGACACGCTTTATTGCCATGGTCTGGAACTGAACCTACTGTAGTATCTTTAAGGTATGCCTATAACTGGCTCAAAGCTGGAACTAAATGTTTTATTACCCGTACAACCCTGACTTTTACCCACTGAAGATAAATGCTTAAGGGATTTATTCAGGATCGGTTTTGGTAACAGAACCAACACTAAAGCTCAACATAAGCCTACTCTTAGTCTCTCCTTATTAATCAGCTTATCATCTCTGTGTTGCAGGTCAACACTGGAAGCAACTGTGCTTTCTGATCTAGTCTGTTGTCCTTTACTCCATTTGAAGATTGACTGCATTTAAAGTTTTATTTCAGTTAACATGGCTTCAGTGGCTGCTTTGGGAAAATAGATGTATGCATAAAGCACCTGCTTTTCTTTTTCTCTGTAACACAGAGGGAATATAGACAGTTCTTAGGTAGTTGCAGTGCCTGAAAAGGCATGGGACTGTTCGTGGGTACACACTCTGAAACAGGCTCCCAAGTCAAAGCAGGAAAAGTATTCAAGAAACTGATAGGTTGAACAATTGCAGGTCATGGTAACATAAATCATATCATATTACCATGTTATACCCAAATCTATGAAGTGTCTTAACTAGCCAACATAAATGCATAGTTTGTACAAAACTATGTATTGTATTAATGAAAGGATGATGGTAAAATAAATGGTTAAAAACCATTTAATATTTCCATATGAACAAATGGCTTATTGTAATAAATCTCAGATTGATAAACTGGATATTGGTTGCATGTGTGTATGAAAAAGCTAAATGTCTGGGTTTTACCCTCTCTGGGAAATGGTTCACAGTATAATAAGTCTAATCATCAGTGCAGTATGCCCCTCACCACCATCCCCTCACACACACTTTTGCTTAGAAAGATGAGGAAATGTTAACAGAAAAGCCTCCCAAAGTGCTGGAATTACAGGCATGAGCCATTGCACCCCGCCATTATGGTTGGTTTTAATAATCAAGTCAGGCACTGCTTAGAAGACATGAAGAAAGAGGTTAATGATAGACTTATGTAACTGACCATTCTTTCAGTGTATGATGGGAAATGACAACTCAAGTTTGCCTGGCTTGCCTAAATGTGAGCAATTGAAGCAAGTTGCTTCAGACTTTAAAAGAATCTGGGCAGGGAGGGGTGGTGGTTTACATATGTCACTACCCGAAATGTGTTCCAGCTTTAGGGTTTTAGATTCAGTCACTCTTTTTTCCTCCATTCAGTCTGGGCCACTGTGGCAAAGTCATTCAAATGTAAGCAGTTGGAAGCAGTAGAGCATAGAGTATCTTTCTCCTCAGCTGAAGAGCATCAGTATATTTACTTTTTGCTTTTACTCTGACTTGCCCAGAGGAGATAGATAGCAAAAGGAATCACATCCTACTGGTTGTTTAGCAAGGGAGATTGCCTGGGTTTAAACTGAGATCAGACAAGTTACTCAGCCACCCTAAGCATCAAGGTTTTTTCTAATAAAAGGTGTTAATAATAATTAGTACCCACCCCTAGGGTTGTCAAGAAGGTTAATAAGTGGATGCACTTGACTCTAAAAAGTTCATGCAGCCGGGCGTGGTGGCTCACGCCTGTAATCCCAGCACTTTGGGAGGCCGAGACAGGCGGATCACGAGGTCAGGAGATCGAGACCATCCTGGCTAACATGGTGAAACCCCGTCTCTACTAAAAATACAATTAGCCGCGCGCAGTAGCGGGCACCTGTAGTCCCAGCTACACGGGAGGCTGAGGCAGGAGAATGACGTGAACCCGGGAGGCGGAGCTTGCAGTGAGTGGAGATCGCAACACTGCACTCCAGCCTGGGCGACAGAGCGAGACTCGTCTCAAAAAAAAAAAAGTTCATGCTTAGGGGTAAAAAGGCTATGATAATTCCTGAGGTGGACTCTTACTTGCCAGAGGATAGTTTCAGGGTGACTCTTAAGAATATTAGCTAAACAATTAAATCCTCCTATTTGATCAGCTTCTCCTTTTAGTCTTCCCAATATATTGGTCTTTCTTTGGTAAATGAAGGGATGAAACTAACACTGCACCAAATGGTGCATATAAACCAGCTTTTCACGTAAGATGGATTTGAATATCAAAGTCCTTGGTCTTTCTACTCTAATACCACACTCCCTCCATAGGGAAAAGATGCCATACTAGTAGCAGATAAACTTTTCCCCTCAATAACTAACGATTCTATAAAAGAAGAAATAAAACTAGTAAATAATCTTGGCTAAGGTTTTTTATACCTAGCAGTGTCTTCAAATGCAAATGGAAAGGTTGATGAAATATCTATTTTCCCTACTACATCACAACAGTTTAAATGATAAATTATTACCGGTTGGTGGCTGAGTAAATTGGTATGTGTATCAAGCACAATTGGTAATATATATCAAGCACAAGGAACTTGTTTTTCCTAAAAATTTCAGATTTTGAAATTTGTCTAAGAAAGTTTTTGCCTGTCTTTGAAATTATCAATTTCTTTGAAAAATTATTAGGTTGGGTATCAGTGTTTTTTTCGTGTTTGTTGTAGTTTGTTTTTGAGACAGGGTCTCACTCTGTTGCCTAGGCTGGAGTGAGGTGGCACTATCAGTCACTGCTCACTGCAGCCTCAACCTTTCAGGGTCAAGCAATCCACCTACTTCAGCCTCCCAAGTAGCTGGGACTAACTATAACTTTTTTGTGTATGTGAGACGGTGTCTTGCTCTGTCTGTCACTCAGGCTGAAGTGCAGTGGCGCAATCTCGGCTCACTGAAACCTCTGCCCCCCAGGTTCAAGCAATTGTCTTTCCTCAGCCTCCTGAGTACCTGGGATTACAGGCACATGCCACCACACCTGACTAAGTTTTGTATTTTTTTAGTAGAGAAAGGATTTCACCATTTTGGCCAGGCTGATCTCGAACTCCTGACCTCATAACTATAACTTTTATAGAGACTGGATCTTACTATGTTGCTTAGGCTGGTCTCCGACTCTTGAGTTCAAGCAATCCTCCTGCCTGGGCCTCACAAAGTGTTGGGATTACAGACATGAGCCACTGCGCCTGGCCTCAATAAAGAGTTAGATGGATATGGTTATGAAGTCCCTGTGATACAAACATGGCATAATATTAAGTGAAAATACACAAACTAGACCTGAGGCAGTGGCTCACACCTATATTTCCATCTCTGGGAGGCCAAGGCAGGCAGATCACCTGAGGTCAGAAGTTAGAGACCAGCCTGACCAACATGGAGAAACCCCGTCTCTATAAAAACACAAAATTAGCCAGGCATGGTGGCGTGTGCCTGTAGTCCCAGCTACTCAGAGGGCTGAGGCAGGAGAATCTCTTGAACCCGGGAGGTGGAGGTTGTGGTAAGCCAAGATTGCGCCACTGCACTCCAGCCTGGGCAACGAGTGAAACTCCATCGCAAAAAAAAAAAAAAAAGAAAAAGAAAAAATAGTGATATCACAAAAAGAGGTGGAATTTGCTTGTCCATATGGCTATCATTTGTTCATTCACCAACAGATATTTATTGGACACTTAGTATATCCCAGGCATTCTTTCAGGCTTTGAGAATCCAGCAGTGAATAAAACACAATAATATGTTTTCACAGGCATCTTACATTCTAGTAGGGAAAAATAGGTGACGAACAGTAAGTTAATAAGAAAACAGTAGTTTTCAGAATAGAGCAATGGATATAAAATCAGCCTTCATTCATTCATTCACCCAAACTATTTTTTGTAGCATCTTCTATGTTTTGTGTCTGGCTCCATTAGCTGGATAGAGGGCATAGAGCAGTGAACAAAATTCAGTTCCTAGCACCCAGAGGTTCTAGTGTAGTGGGGAAGATATGTAGTAACTGCTGTGGTGTGGTAACACATGGAGAAACCTAATCCAATCTTGGGAGAGCATAAAAAGATCAAAAATTATGTTTTTGAGCAAGTTAAATCTATCTGATCTTTGATAAACATTATAAAACTATTTTGAGGATTATGTGTGAAAGTACACAGCACACCGTGAGTACATAGTAACAGTATATTAAGTGCATAGTCATTGTAGAAAT